CAGCAGACACATCATCTTAATGAAGGTTAAGATTTCCATAAAGTTCAACTTGCCTTTAATAAAAAACTAAGTTTTACTGTAAATGTATAAAATATGTTCAATTCCAAACCCACTATGTCTTCTTTATTAGCTTTTTGTTGAAAAATTACCAATTTGTAGAATTTATGAAACATTTCCTGAACTGAGTGAACCTTCTGCAAACGGATCAGGGTTAGAAATCACACTGCCTCCTGGAATCAGACTTTTCGTTCAGATTAGTCTGCATATTGATCCTTTGTCGCTGTCTGAAGCAAACATGCACTAAAAGCCTCCCCTAAAAAGTATCCACAAGCAGCATCCACTCCTGCGGTAACGTCAGTCGCTCCAGCTCTAATGGACATCCTCATTCTCTCCTCTCCTGGTCGACCTTGTCTCGTCTCCGTTATTCTAATGAACACATTCACGCCAAAGTTGTTTCAAGTCGAGCTCCCATTCAGAATCGGCGCAGCTCCTCTTTGTCGCTCTGCCCATGATTCATCCAGCCTCTCACCGGAGGCTCATTGTGAACTTCAGAACACATCAGACGTCAGATACAGCAGCCGTCCGCTCTTATAATGTCACACCACAGCGTGCACGGGCATCATTTCCATCTCTTTCCCTCTTCCTGCCTGTGTCCTTTTCTTACATTTACTCACTCACTCGGAAACACTCGAGAACTATTTTCAGGATGCTGCATGGCAACAGCACCCCTCCTAGAAAAGTCAGTGTGAGGCTGTTATTGGGGTATTTGGATGACATTTACATTAAACTGCAAAGCTATTTACCTTGGATCTGTTTCTTTCAGCAGAGTTGGAAAAAAAAAACATTTGCGTCATCTTCTAGACATCTTCGAGACGTCCCACAGTTATCCTGATTAATCCAAAACAAATCTAATTATTTCCTGTTATTCTGAATCACACAGAAGTTGTGAACTTCTACTCACAATGTGTTTTTTTTAGCATTTCTTCTTTCTATTTGTTTTATTTTAGTTCCAGACCTTCACAGACATTTAGCTCCGTCAAAGAAATTCTCTGCATTGGCTCTAATCCTGATCGCCAAAAGGAGGGGATTAACCAAAGGGTAAAATTTCTACCTCCATCTTTAGCTGTGCAGATTTAAAAATACCCCTCTGTGTCTAAAAATAGCCTGTTACACTCCAGATAAACTGCCAGCATACGCTGGAGGGAGAGAAGATGATGTTCCTAATCTCTCCTTACTCCCACTTTTAAATCAGTTTCTTTTTTCATTAATAAGTATTTTCTCTGCTTCCAGTCCCTCTAAAGGTGGAAATATACTTGCTTTTTTACCTCGCGTAACCTCGCGTTACTACAAACAGCCTGCTGCGTCTTCAGCGCGTATTTGCCTGCATACTGCACGCACTACTGGAGGGTTCCGCTAGAGGTCAGTGTACCGTATAGTGTGTGGCATTATACCAAAACAAAATAAACATGGCGACGATAGAGGAGTTAAGTAGCTGGTTAATTTTAAGATTACGACAGAAAAAAAGACGGCGTCGGTGTCGTAGATGGTATGTGAGACCACTAAACCAGGCACGACAAGACAACGGAGAATATGTTTCGCTCGTTTTGCCGATGAGGGAAATCGACGATGAAAAACATTATAATTACTTCCGAATGTCCTCATCTGCTTTTGACGAGTTGCTCAGAAGGATTGAGACACTGATTTCCCACCGACGCACACATAGTGCTCCCATTAGCTCATCACAGCGCCTTGCTGTCACACTACGATTTCTTGCTACTGGTTGTAGCTACCAATCCCTGGCAGCCAGCTATAAACTTGGATCCGCAACAGTTGGATGTATTGTAAAAGAAGTTTGCGAAGCTATATGGACAGCACTCAAGGACGACGTCGTGGCCTTTCCCAGTGTTGCAAAGTGGATGGAAATTCAGGAGGAATTCTGGTCTCTTTGGAATTTTCCTAACTGTGTCGGAGCAATCGATGGGAAACACATTCGAGTTCGAGCTCCAGCCAATAGTGGAAGTTCCTTCCACAACTACAAAGGGTACTTCAGCTTCATCCTGATGGCTGTGTGTGACGCCAGGTGAGTGGTAGAATGCTATACCCACCCCTAGTAAGTAAAAGGTCGGTTTTTATATTCCCCAGAGTTAAGTGAGGAAAAGCATGTTTTTAACTAATCCTCCTGACCTGGCAGCAGTGTCTTTTGTTTAGCATGAAACAATCTTTGTTGTTCCATTTCATTTACATAGTTTTATGCTAACCTAAAGCAAACTGACAGGTCAGGAGGATTAGTTACTTGCTTTTTCTCACTTAACGCTGGGGAATGTAAAAACTGACATTTTATTTAGGGGTGGAGTATACTTTTTACAGAATCATATTCTTTTATTTTAAACTAATTGAAATGATTTGTTTATGCACTTATTGCTTGAAGTCATATTTGCACAGACAAATCATTTCACTGAGGATTTATTTAATTTTAAAGTCATATTTATTGCAGATAAACATCATTTGGAGCTGGGCGTAAAATAAAACCTATTTCCTTACTTCAGGTACAGATTTACACTTGTGGATATTGGAGCCTTTGGCCGTGACAGTGATGCTGGTGTGTTTTCAAGAAGTGCCTTTGGATCCCAGCTCATCAAGGGGGAGCTGCACCTGCCACCGCCATCTCCTCTGCCAGGTGCTGTTGTTCGGAGTCCCCCAGTCTTCGTTGCAGATGAAGCTTTTCCACTGAAAGTGAACCTGATGCGGCCATATTCAGGTAGAGAATTTGAATCAACTAAGTTTGACTCAATCACTCATCCCTAAACAAGACAATAATTATATTTTCTTATGTTTATAATAGGGACCAACCTCACAGCAGAGCAGCACATCTACAACTATCGACACAGCAGAGCAAGGCGGGTAATAGAAAATGCCTTTGGCATTTTGGCTGCACGATGGAGAGTGTTTGGGAAAGCCATGGAGTGTTCTGTTGACACTGCTGAATTAATAACAAAGGGATGTGTTGCTCTTCACAACTTCCTCTGTGGTACTGACCAACTCCAAGCTGAGACAGCAAGGTACATCAGTAGAGTGGACGAAGGAGATGTCTTGGGAGAATGGAGGCAAGTTGTGGAGACCGACACAAACCTCTTGGACACCGGACGCTTGACTTCTGAGCGTGCTACACGACATGGCACTGAGGTGCGGAACAGCTTGATGAACTATTTTCAAACCGAAGCAGGAAGAGTGTCTTTTCAGGACAACATCCTCCAACGGGGCACACTGCATTAGTGTATATCTATTTGCTTGTGGTGTCAGTTTAAATGTTTTTTGCACGTGATTTGTTTCAGCACAACACAAGGAAATCCAATGAATTGTTTTTATTTATCTGCAAAATAAAACTGATTCAGTTCAAGTTTGTCATTGGAACAGTTATTTTTTTTATAAATGGTCATATTAAATTTGTATAAAACATAACATTTCATTTTAACAAGACAACAAAAGTTCAAGTAATTTTTGTAGTGCTGTCATTCATAAAACATTTTAAGCTTTCAACCTGAAGAACATTCAGAAGAAATGTGGAAAATCTGCAAACATGCTGCAGCACATGAGAACATTCTGCTGAATTAAATCATTGAGGCAGTTTCGGATTTTTAAGGAGTTTTTTGCCTCATGAGGTGCTATCAAACTGGTTTCATATTCACCTCAGCGCCTATGAGGCAGAAAAATTAACGGCTGTAGTAAATGACTGCTCTCGTGTACTGCAGGCTTAACAAACAACACAACAACAAACAGCACAAGAAAACTGCATGGGAGGAACATTAAATAAAATAACATTATCTACTCATAACATTGCATGAGCTGCTTAACTTCCTTCATGAGTCTTTGTGCATCATGCGGATCCAGCTGCTGAAGGAACATACCCATGTAGCTTCCAAAGGTTGTGTAGATGTTGTGACCTGCACGAGCTTCCTCTCTAACCTCTGCCAGCCTCTGGAGGAGGGCAGCATCCACAGGATCCAGCTCTTTGGGTCTTTTCTTCTTTCTTGGAGCGGTGGGTGTTCTGGAAGATGTACTGGGTCCTGAAGTGGTCTGAGATGAGGTAGATGGGTCAGGTGAAGGATCTGGTTCAGGTGTGCTTCCAGGTGAAGGAGTCGTGGTCTCTTCATTACACATCTACAGCCAGTGCCACAAACAAGACATTTGTCAACTACACAGATGTGACATGATGAGAATTGTGATATGAAATGCTAGTTTATTTTAAGTACAGGTAAACTAGAATGTTAGCTCCTCGTCTGTTTAAAAAAAAAACAGCCCAGAGTGGATTCGGATGTTTACTTACGGGCCTGCTTTGTGGGAAGTTGGTCTCGGTTGAACGGTGGTTTATAAAACTGCTGAGCCAACCCAGGCGTCTGACGATAGCTGGACAAAACACGCCGTCTGCACCGTCCCCACTCCGTTTCTCCATCATCTTCCTTCGAGCCCTGACGTAGCGGTCTCGGACTTGTTTCCATTTTATTTTGCACGTCTCGGCGTCGCTTTGTATGTTGTCACTGATCTCCCTCCAGCTGTTCTGACAAGCATACTTGTCGCTGTGCAGTGGTAACGACACATCATAAAGATGTGGATAGTTCCGAACCTGGTCGATTAGCTTTTCTTCAAAGCTTTCTGACATTTTAAAACTACTGAGGTTTGTCGCCGTTGACCCCGTACTACATCCGGTTAAACAACGCTCTACACTCCGCCTAGTGGTTAGCCGTATATTGCAGCGTGCGGCCGCGTCGCGTTAATTTCAGAGGACGTGCACAAACGACGCATCAAACGAACGCAAACTACGCAAGGTAGCCATGATACGTACGCGTACGCGTTGTTAAAAGCAAGTATATTTCCACCTTAAGACGTCACCAAGGTCAGCGTGACCCACAGCAGCAAAACAGGAAGATTTCTAAATAGGAAAGGAAATGAGCAACAAAAACTAAGTAAGTGAGGAAATAATCTCTTTATTTTTGATGAGGGTAGAAAAGTGGCCTCTCCAACAGCTCCTTTTATCCCAATTTATCACATCCACTTCATATCCCTTCTCTGATACAAGTTCATAACAGGGCACTGGATTCATTCTGTCAAATGGTTTAGACTTATTGGTACAGTGATTGCACCCTCTGCTGGATAACTTTCACATAATTTTCTTTTAAATTGTCATTTTCAAAGAATCCTTACAGTCAATATCAATTTTTGACCAAAATGTCTTCCAAATATTTTCTTGGGTTGTCTAAAGATCATTAGGACATTAAACGTTGAGTTGTGTCAACAGGTGCCACTAAACCTAGTTGCTTAAACCAACACTAAAGACTTTTTGACACTTTAAACTATTGTTTTCAAACTGGTTTCAATGGTTCTTGAACCATTAAGTTGAACAAGTTCACACTGGACAGCACTCTGTAGCCTCTGCTGACCAGAAACCATACTTAACAGTTTTGTGGTTCTGGCAGGAACACTAGGGAAGTCTCTACTCCACGTGCTTTATGGCTATAGCTGTTTATTTTGCTGGCATCTAATATAAAGGCAGTTATCTTTTTGAGTTTGTTAACTGCCATTAAAAACAAGAAGAAGCTTTGTTAACTGCCAAGAAGAAGAAGAAGAAGAAGAAGAAGAAGAAGAAGAAGAAGAAGAAGAAGAAGAAGAAGAAGAAGAAGAGGAAGAAGAAGAAGAAGAAGAAGAAGAAGAAGAAGAAGAAGAAGAAGAAGAAGAAGAAGAAGAAGAAGAAGAAGAAGAAATAATCATCATCTAAGTAAACTTCTTTTGTCTGCATCCTGGCGGAGCCTGGAAGTAAAAGTAAGAGAGTAATGTCTTTGAAGACAAAGTTAAGAGTTACCACTGGCTTGGCCTACACTTGCTTGAAGGAGCTGAAGGAGGCTACAAAATCAAAGACTTATGGTGACCTGGCTTTGTTGCTATTGGACTTGTAAGTCATAATTATTATTATTTTTATTTTTTGGTTTGTTTGTTTGTTGCTTTAAATTCAAAGTGTACCATAAACTGCCTGGCCCAAAAATTGTATAAAAACTGTCACCACCAATAAGAAAAGGTCACACTAATATTTTGCTGGACCGCCTTTAGCTTTGATTAGGACACACATTCGCTGTGGCATTGTTTACCATACCATACCATACCACCTTTATTTATATAGCACTTTAAAAACACAGCCATACAGCTGACCAAAGTGCTGAACAGTCACACAATAATAGAAATAAAAAACATAGAACAGTACTATAAAATACAGCCAACAATAAAAAAAAAGACAAGTCAATAAAAAAGGACCAATAAAACCTTACAATGGATGATAAAATAAGAGTATTAAAAACAAAACTAACAGCTAACTGTTAAAAGCAAGGGTAAAATAGTGTGTCTTTAGTCTAGACTTAAAATCTGCCAAGGTGGATGCCAGTCGAACTGTGACTGGAAGTTCGTTCCACAGTTTAGGACCCGCGACAGAGAAAGCTCTTTGGCCGCATGATTTGTAACACGCTTTCGGGACCTCAAAGAGCAACAGGCTGGAGGACCTGAGTGTGCGACCAGGAGTATAAATTGAAAGAAGATCAGATAAGTACACGGGGGCAAGACCATGGAGGGATTTGAAAACAAAAAGTAGCATTTTATACTGGACCCTGAAAGTGATGGGCAACCAATGAAGGGATCTGAGAACTGGTGTTATATGCTGGCGCCTGTCAGTACGTGTTAGGAATCTAGCAGCTGTATTTTGAACAAGTTGAAGTCGGGCAAGGGTTGACTTATTGACACCCAGCAAAACTGCATTTGAGTAGTCGAGCCTAGATGTGATGAAGGCATGAACAACTGATTCCAAATTTTTTCTAGATAAAACAGCTCTTAATTTGGACAGATGGCGGAGTTGGAAAAAACAAGATTTTACACTGGCATTGACCTGGGCGTCTATCCTTAGAGATGAATCCATCTTCACACCCAGGTTTGTCACAACGGTTTTTAGATTTTGAGAAAGAGATGAAAGATCTGGGGTTTGGAATGAGCTAGATCTGACCAAATTAAACAGAATCAGTTCAGCCTTGGAATCATTGAGATGCAGAAAATTTGTGGCCAGCCAACATTTCACATCACGTAGGCAGTCTAGAAGAGGCTGGATGGATTGCTGGGGTTTCACCGACATGTAAATCCGACAGTCGTCAGCATATAAGTGATATTTAACAGTGTTTTTTTAGGAATAAGCTGAGGGGAAGGAGGTAAAGACAAAACAACAAAGGCCCCAGAATAGATCCCTGCGGGACCCCACACGAGAGAGGAGCAGAGCGAGATGAGATGCTGTTCAACACCACCCGTTGGGACCTGTTAGACAAATAAGACCTAAACCAAGTTAGAGCTGGACCACGTATTGCAGCAACCTCCTCTAAGCGTAATAAAAGGATGTTGTGGTCGACGGTGTCAAAGGCGGCGGACAGATCGAGAAGTAATAACACAGCATAGGAGCCAGAATCAGTAGCCATAAAAATGTCGTTGAAGACATGGAGGAGAGAGGACTCAGTGCTGTGCAGAGGTCAAACACCTGACTGAAAGACATCCATTATGTTATGATCGGCTAGATGAGCTGATTGCTGATCATAGACCACCTTCTCCAGAATTGTTGCCAGAAATGGAAGTTTGGAAATAGGGCGATATTAGAAAGAACCGAGGCGTCAAGGCCTGGTTTCTTTAGAAGCGTCTGAACCACAGCATGTTTAAAGACAGGGGGTACAACACTGGAAATAAGACGGGTATTGATAAAGTGTAGGATATAATGACCTATAGCTGGGAACACCTCTTTCAGGAGGCGCGGAGGAAGGCTATCGTCTTGGGAACCAGATGGTTTCATCAACAGAAGCAAAGATTACAGGCATGGAAGGGAAATAGGTTCAAAGCTGAGGAAGGGTAGCCTGGCAAGTATTATTTAGTCTGGCCACGCCCCTTTGACGGCTCTCGGTTGTGGGGCGGGTTCTACCGTTGTCTTTCAAATGATCTCTGCATTCCACTGGACAATGAATGACTATGTTTACATGCAGCCAATATCCGGGTTATGATCGGGTTAAGGTCGGTGTTCGGGTTTCTAAGTTGATCAGAGTAACCCATTTACAAGCATAAATAGAAAGAGTTAACCCTAACTTGCATAACCCGATATAAATGCGGATGTTGGGGTAGCGTCAGGACGTATGGACTACGTCCAGACGCAACATGCGTCATTTCCGGTTCTTCTTGTTCCAGTAACCGTGAAAACAACATGTTTCCCAGTTCGGAAGAGATAGCGACCGTGTTTGTTTGCGCTTTAGTTTCCTCGTCACTCCAAAAGTGTGGTGCTGTACCGCTACTCGCCATGTTGCTCCCAACTTGTTGTTTACTTCAGGTGTTCTGGCGCATACAAGACGTCTCGCTACTCAAAAGACCAAGATTCCTTGCGAACAGAGCATGCGCAGAACACACGCTTTGATGGGGATATCCCGATATGCGTTTACACGACCAAACATTCGGGTTAGAAAAGGGTTACCCCAGGTGTAGTAACCGGGTTTTTAAAAAACCGGTTATGAGCATATCCGGGTTTTTGGCGGTGTTTACATGGACCTGCGGAACCGGGTTATTGTGAATATTTGGGTTTTAAAAGGGTTACTGGCTGCATGTAAACGCACTCAATGTGGCATACTCTTGTTTCACTCTGTTGCATCATCCCACCCACCAGGCATATAGAGTGCCCTGATTGGCCCACAAAGCGGATAAAGCTCTTGCTTTGTTCACTAAGCAGATAGAGCACTATGATTGGCCCACCATTATGGACCAGTCCCAGCTCTTTATGTGTTTGAAACCCCTCTAGAGAGCTGTGATTGGCTAGCCAGAGTCCTGGTAGGAGCTGCGGAGGTTCCAATGGAGCGTGCCTAGACCAAACTTTGCAAAGCAAGAATTTGGTCTAGTTCACTAGGCTAGAGGAAGGGCGCTGTATTAAAGGTTAAGGTAGGAAGGGTGGGCAGAGGGAGTGATAAGCTAGCCCTGATAGAGGAAACCTTTTCAGAAAAGAAATCTAGAAACTGATCTGGGAGATTTGGTGCAATAACTGAGCAGTTGGACTCATGAGGAACGAGAACCAAATTAATAGTTTTGTAAAGAACTTTTTGATTGGACCAGTTTGCAGAAATAATTATAGAAAAGTAATAGCTTCTGGCATGCATAACTGCTTCTGCAATATCAGATTGTTTATTTCCATCTGGTGTTGCATTAATGTTTCACCAAGATCTTGCCTTGATGATAGTGGAGTCTGACTGCTGCACAAAGCCTTCTCTAGCACATCCCAAAGATTCTCAATGGGGCTAAGATCTGGACTCTGTGGTGGCCAATCCATGTGTGAAATTAGGTCTCATGCTGCCTGAACCACTCTTTCATCATCTGAGCCCGATGAATCCTGGCTTTGTCATCTTGGAATTAGGGTTGTCACGATACTAAAATTTCAAAATCGATTCGATACTGGGGGGGGGGGGGGGGGGGGGGGGCTCGATACTCGATTTCGATACCTTTTAAAAAGACCAATTTATTGAACAAGTTTATTCAAAAAATAACATTCCTCAATTTATATTGCAAAAATTAAATGTTAATAATTAAGTGTGTAATGTGCTTAAACCTTTCAGGTATCAGCACTTTTTAAAACGTGCATACAAAAACTGGCAAAAGTTAACACTTTAAATCATGAATTGTCTCACTATATTTACACTATTTGCAGAGTGATGTTTTGCTGCTTAAACTCTGTTTAAGGTGCATTTTTGTCATAAGATGTAATGCCATATGTTTTGTTCTGTACTTTTGAACAACTCTGTTGGTCAATAAAGGGAGAAAACAAATTTCTCCACAGTAGGACAAAGGTACATCTACCGGTAATCTTAATAAAAACAGACTGGCGCACGGCAGTGACGTCATTAAAAGCGCTGGTTAGATTAGCCGCGGCTAGTCTGTTCACGCCTAGAAATCCCAGACTCGCTCCAAACGAACAGGGGAATCATGTTAATGATTCCTAACAAAACCTTTCGACATGAAGATGTTTTGGTGCAGATAATGTCTTATTTCGAGGCTGCACCATGGGTGCCCGTCCGCACCCATTATATGGATATACGCTGATGGCGATTCGCCGATGGATCTAAATACCCCGGGGAATCCAAGTAGCACCAAAGTTGTCAGTGTGAGTAAACAAACGTACTGCATGCTAGAAATTAAGTCCGGGTTGCAATAAACGGGAGTTTTCCTTTAAGCATATGAGCGTGAATATACAACTACGTGTCGGACTTGGTATGCTAATTAAGTTGGGCTGTGAAGCGCCTCCCAAATTCGCTGTTGCCATCGTTAACAAAACTTGGATCGGAGACAACTCGCGTGGGAAATTGCAATGTAGCCATGCGGCGTCTTCTTCTGTTTGTCTGGGAGGCGGAGGCTGCTTTACGGCATCTGGCTGTTGTGCGTGTCGGTGTACTTGAAGAAGGCTGTGTATATGTGAGACTCCATAATATCGATACCACAGGGATGGAATATCTAATTTAGATACCACTTTTAGTATCGATTTACATCTAGGTATTGATTTTTTGACAACACTACTTGGAATATGCCTGTGCCATCAGGGAAGATGGAATAACCTGGTTTCTCTGCTTGATGCATGCCAATGATCTGACCCTTCTCAAACAGACTAACATCTTTTTCACGACCACCAGATGGGTATTTCCACATGGCTGTTTAAGAAATGAGAAGCAACTGATTCCACCTGTTGGGGTTAAATAACTTGTTGCAGCTGAAAGATGATCACATGCAGGAATTATCCAATAGGCGGCTCCTACCTGAATCCAGGTGGCAACTTTTTTTGGGGGGGGGGGGGGTTGTATTGTTACACATGGTCTTAAAGTATATTACTCTTTACATTTAGTCAGCTAGGTTTAGTGGGACCAGTTGACATAACTTGGTTAAGTAAATTCAACATGTCATTTCTTACAGTGTAATCATGGCTGATCAGAAGTTCCTGCATCATCTTATTTATTCTGGCTGCATTAAAAATTAAAACGACAAACTATTTTAAGAAAGCTAAAAGCCCCCTGACTGTCAGTCATCTGAACCCATGTTTTATCAGCATAATTCATGGATTTAAAAACGAATCACTTGAAGCATTAAGCAACTCTTTCATTCACCAGTTAATCTAATCATTTTTGTCACTCAGCATCTTTTTCTCAAGTGCTTTTGCCAAGATGAGAGAAAAAAAAACACTGCTGCGCTCTAGTCTCTCATAATCAGGTCTTGATGGGCTATTTTTAGTTTCAACTCGCAGCAACCGAGTCCTGTTGGGATTGTATCGAGATTCTGATGTTACATAAGAAAGGAATGAAAGAGTTTGCAGAGTTTGACATCTCAGCCTGCGTTCTGTGTTGAGCTGCCTTTTCAAGGAGAAGATGAATTCTTAAAAGATGAATTCTGCAAACGTTGATGCAAACTTGAGTCTACTCATTAAGTCGCCCTGACTGAGAGGGCTGGGATGTCATCAAAAAACATAACAGTTTGTCCTCATGAGACACTTTCTTCAGGGCTCTTTGATGTCCAAATCCCAGAATTCCACCAAAATAACAAACTTTTATGTGATTGTTCATTGATGACCATAAATGCCAAATGACCCCCTCCTTCAGCAGTTCTGGAGATTTTGCACATCTCTCCATGGATTTATCCTCCCTGGAATCTCTGATTGAAGCTTTTGGCCTGGATTGAGAGGAGCTACCGGTATATCTGGAACACATTAGTGCATGAGGAGGTAATTGTCTCCTCTTGAGCTGCTCATCAGCAGCTCAAAAAAAGGAGGATTTAGACTAAAGATAAAGGAAGAGAGAGCAGGAGGGAAAAACGCTGTAGCAGTTTGAATTTTTTCTGAAAATGTGAACTTTTTCCACATATTTGGAGAAAAACTTGGGTGTTTTACTCATCATGGCATTTTATTGGTGTGTCTTTGAAACATTTTCCACACAGCAGGTAAATGGATAACCCCCGCCTGTTGCTCTGGTGACCGTCACAATGAAAGCCATTGTATTCATATTGGGATGAAAGTAACTGACACCAGATCTGCACAGGAGCCAGATTTGGACTCTAAACGCTGCACATTCATATTTAATCTGCTTCACTGGGGTGGCCACAGGTCCAATCACAGGTTTGGTTCCAGCTTCACCTGCAGAGCAGCAACACTTTCACTGAGCGCCTTTAGTGCAGGTAGAACCAGAACTCAGCGCAGAGCGTTAAATACTAGTGTCATGTGCTTTTTTATGGTTTCTATAAATACTTTCACCTATATGTCACATTGCAAATGAGCCCAGAGGGGGAAGGTAAAAATGTACCCAGTGTACAAAAATAGCTAAAGGGTTGTCTCCAGAGGCAAAGTGGTGCAGTTTTATCTTTTTTATGACATTTTGAATTAAGCTAAATGATAAAAGTGAGTTTAGATATTTTTGTATTTTTAAGCAAATTTTTGAATGCAGCATGCAAGATTTCTTTAAATCTATGCTGCATCTGCTCCATGACTTTTTACAAAGTCGAAATCATTCCAAACAACCGGCAGTTCATTATGCATTTCAGTGGAAATACCGTTTAGTTACACTAAATACAAACTTAAAAATAACGTTTGTGTGAAATAAAACCCAAAGGAGGATAAAAGTTGTGGTTAGAAAGCACCTTTTAAACTCCTCTTACCTGCCCAAAGACTGACTTGACTATGGGATGAAGGCTGGAGTCACACTCAGATGTTGTGCTCAGCCTTTTGGATCTGGATCTGGGCCGGACGTTTGCTGCTGGTGCATCAGAGCTGAGGCTGGAGGACGAGCCGGTGACTGCTCTCTCTCTGTGCTCGAAAAATAAATCTGCCTCATCCGTGTGTTTCAGGTTGGAAGGGGTCGGTGAGGTCCTCTTACCCTGCCAGGAACCTCCCTGGGGGTGCGCTGCAGAAGCACGCTCACCTCTTGGAGAGTCTTGATGATGAGGATGAGGATGGCGGTGGTGAGTGGATCTGGGGGGCTTGATGCGCTCTTTGTGATGCCGGTTCAAGTGCCTGATGTCCTCCTGAGCGTCTTCATCATCATCTTCTTCATGCAGGTGGCTTGGCTGCCGGTGCGAGTATCTCTTCTGCACACGATGTTGATCCGCTACATGTCGGAACTCGGTGCGTCTTGGTTGGCACAGAGGTCTCCGCGCGCTGGTCTCGCAATCCCTTGTCCACGCTGCTTCCTCTGCGGGATGATGCTGAGCGCGGGGGCTCCGGTGGCCATGTGGACCGTGATCCGACCTGCGGTGGAGCCCTGATGGTCCCAGCAGGGAGGTGGTCGAGTCACCTTTGGGAAGAGGGGCGCTCATCGTTGCTTTCCCGTCTGGTGCTGCAGGACGAAAGTCAGAAACACCGATGAGAGCGCAGGTGTTCTGCTCTCTCCATCACCGGACGGTCCGTGGAGGTGGAGCAGCAGCTGGAGCTGATGTGGCAGCAGGCGGTCACCCAGCAGCTTCACGGGGCTCGGCCGGCAGCAGCGCAGCGCTGCAGGATGTCGCACAGTCCACGCACAAAAGTTCATTAAGACGCACGTCACCAACCAACAGATCCTTCCTCTCATAATTGGATGCTGCCGTGTTGGTCGATCTCACAGAAAGCTGCTTAAATTTAGACTCCAGAGTTTAATCACATCATAACACAAAAGTCCAGGTAACATTTGTCACTTTTTATTTTCGTGGTGCAGATACAACTCTCCAAAAGTTGTTTTTCAAGGTGTAAGAACTAAATAATGCACAAAAACCTGCTTTACCCTTCTTTTAAAACAAAAAACTTTAATTGAAGAAAATTTGAGGAGCCATAAATAGTAATTCACAGTGAGTCATTTTGTGTTTATTTATGTCTGGAAATATTAGGTGAATAAAGCTGCGTACTTGTTCTTAATAAAAGCATAAACTTCAATATATAATGTTTGTTCTATAAGCACTTGTCATAATATTCCTACTATAGGGAAAACTGAAAAAAAAAACTAAAACACAAACATTAACACCCCCTGTGCAAAAAAAAAGGTTTTTATTGCCATTTTAATGTGTTTCTGGTTGTTTTGCTTAATTTAATTTCAGTATTTTAGATCATTGTAACTCATATATGAATCATTTATTTGTTCTGAAACAAGATGTCATCAGTTAGACAACAATTAGCTGAAAACAAGTGTGTCAGTCCTCTCCTCCCTTCTGCCCACTGTGGGCACCTCTGCAGCAGATAGGTGATATTATTAACTCATGCAGCCAACTAGACTGAGCTCTTTTGAAATGTAATTCAGTGATAAACCAGAGAAATGTGAGCAGCTTTTGGCCTCTTTTCTCTGGAGGCTTTTTGTTCTCTGACATCTGTGTCTCTTCTGCTCCGGGGAGAGCCAAAGAAGCATCACTCTGCTGGACTAATGCCTGCTTCAGAAGCAGCCTGCTTTAACGTCTCTGCTGCTTTTTCAACAGGAGGAGCCAGATCTAAACCTTTAAGTCTTAATTTAGAGCAAAATTATTTCTTATCGAGATTTTCTAATAATTTTCCAATATTTAGATTTGAATTCTGAACACTTGATTGGATTAGCTTCAAATTATTTTTAGCACTCAGCAGACATTAAGGCAAATCCAAGGGAGCCTCGGGGTGCAATATGGCCTATTTAGTGAGATGTCTCAAATTACTAATAATAACAATGTTGGTAAAAGGGATGTGCAAAAATAAACAACAAAAATACCATCAGAAATGAATTTTTTGACAGTTGGCCGTGGGAAGGGATTTCTACTCTAAAAGGTCAAACATTGATGGCAAATACTGCAGTGGACGCAGCTGTGGCTCTGTGTTCACAAACAGCAAAAATATTTATTATTAACTCACTCATTTTAAATACAAAAATGACACACCCATATGATAAACCCACAAAACCACACAAAAGGTTTTTGTTTTTTAAACAGTAAAGTGTGGTGCTATTAAACCTGACTTATCGGGTGATATTAACCTAGAAGATAGGAGGGACAGTCTGGGTCCATTATTATAACAATCGAAGCAGGTTCTGGAAAAAGCATCATGGGAAAAACTTGCATCAGATCAATTATGTAAGTTTCCACCCATCAGACAGCTTATCTCAGGTCAGATCTTACATCTGCTGTGTGTAGACCCTGACTCTTGGAACAGTTTAATATTACTAAAACATTCATCGGCAGAGTTAATAATTCATCACACACTGGCTTCTAACAAACACAACGAAGAATGAGTTTCCCCATTTAAATCATTAAAACATTTAGTTCTGCCAAACAGCAGCGAGACACACACATGCACTCACACATGCATGTGCGCGCGCACGCACACACACACACACACACGTACGCATGCATGCACACACACACACACATGCAAGCACTCTCGCACACATGCACACACACACACACACACACACAGATGTACACTTGCACACATATGTACACACACACACACACATGCACGCACACACACACACACACGCACACACATGCACACACACCAATTGGTGTAATTTAATTTGCATCAAGAGAACAGAAGCTGAGAAGGAATGTGCTCAGAAATGTATTTTTAGGACATTTTTCTGATTATGTCATCTCATCATCTTCTAACAACATAGGCCATGTGTATTGTTACTCATTACTCTGCAGTGACAATAAGTCCATTTTTGATGAGATGTTGTTTTTTATTTTTTATTCTAATTCATAAGTTTTCTCAGCAGGGTGTCTAGGATTTTAGAGAAAGGGTGAGAAGCTCGATCAATCGGGAGGGGCTTGGAGTAGATCCGCTGCTCCTCCACATCAAGAGAAGCCAGTTGAAATGGATCGGGCATCTAGTTAGGATGCCTCCTGGACGCCTCCATGTTGAGGTTTTCCGGGCACGTCCAACTGGGAGGAGACCAGAAGGAAGACCCAGGACACGCTGGAGGGTCTATGTCTCTAGTCTGGCCAGGGAACGCCTTAGGATTCCGCTGCCGTTGCAATCCGATCAAGCAGACGATGTTGGGATGGATGGCTGCTAATTCATGCTTTACATTGTGTGCATTTTTACAAGTATTTTCCTTTTAACATCCTATAAGTCATCATCACACACTGAACATTTTTTTCTCTGCATTTGACCCATCCCCGTAGGAGCGGTGAGATGCAGCAGTGGCTGCGCTCGGGAACTATTTGGTGGTTCAACCCCTCAATCCAGCTGAGTGTCAAGCAGGGAGGCATTGGGTCGGCAGTCCTGCGATCAGAGATCCGCAAATCTGCGGTGTCAAATCCTGGCCTTTGAGAACCTGCACCACTCTGCATGTTTTCTTGCTCAAAGTCCTGCTTCATCTGTAAATTCCCCATTGAGCCGTTAGTAGTCACCGCTTTAAGTGTGTGTTGGAACAGAGGAACATGCAGAGCAGTAGCTGTCAATTAAACATTGCTCTCATTTCAAATGTTTACCTGAGTACTGCTAATTAGTTCAGGTTAAAGGTTATGGACGTCAACAAATGGAATGAGGGTTCAGCATCCCTTCCTGTCCGGACCTACAGTCACTCCAGAAGTGAAGATCTGAAAAAGGCATGACTCCAGTTCACAAAAGTAGAGCAGCTTCCTCTTTCTTCCCTCCACCCCTCACCAACACATCCACCCCACCTAACCCTGATCCTCTCACCTCCCAGCACCACTGTGAGGTGTCTTATCAGAGTCCCTCATTCACCTTCTCCATCAGGTTTTCAGACCTGACAGTTTTCATCAGACTCTCTTCCATTTCCTGGTTGCAGGCTTTTACGTTCAGTCCCACTTTTCAGCCAATCCCAGCTGCAGCGTCTCTTTTCACGCTACCCTGGCTGTCACTTCCCGTAGTCAAAGCTGAAAGTGCCGAGAAGCGACATGCAAAGAAACAAAACTAATCTGTGCAGTCCAGGGAGGGGTAAGGAGGGAGGGAGTAGCTCTGTTATTGGTTTGCTTCATAAAAAATAAAATAAATACACTGAACAAAGCAGACTGATGTCTTTTAATACTATTTCTAAAACTTTCAAAGTTTAATCTTTAAACTACTCTAAACTTTATTAAATCCTCTTCCATTTCTTTGAGTAGTGATTCAGCTGATACCCACATTTAGAGTTTTTACATAAATCCTTCCATCCATCCATCTATTTTCTGTACCCGCTTAATTTAGAAAGACCAATTAACCTGACAGTCATGTTTTTGGACTGTGATGAAACTGACTGTGGCACCCTGTGGGGGACACTCCAGGAGTATGAGGTGGGTGGCCTTTTGTTAAGGGCCATTCAGTCCCTTTACCAGGGGAGCGTGAGTTTGGTCCGCATAGCCGGTAGTAAGTCAGACCTGTTCCCAGTGAGGGTTGGACTCCACCAGGGCTGTTTTTTGTCACCGGTTCTGTTCATTACCTTCATGGACAGAGTTTCTAGGCGCAGCCGTGGTGTGGAGTGTGTCGAGTTTGGTGGCAGGAGAATCTCATCTCTGCTTTTTGCAGATGATGTGGTCCTCCTAGCTTCATCCAGCTCTGACCTTCAGCTCTTGCTGGGTAGGTTCGCGGCCGAGTGTGAAGCGGCTGGGATGAGGATCAGCACCTCCAAATCTGAGACCATGGTTCTCGACCGGAAAAGGGTGGCTTGCCAACTCTGGGTTGGGAGAGAGGTTCTACCTCAAGTGGAGAAGTTTAAGTATCTCGGGGTCTTGTTCACGAGTGAGGGTAGGAGGGATCGGGAGATCGACAGGCAGATTGGTTCAGCGTCTGCAGTGATGCGGACGCTGAGCCGATCTGTCGTGGTGAAGAGGGAGCTAAGCCAGAAAGCCAGGCTCTCGATTTACCGGTCGATTTACGTCCCAATCCTCACCTATGGTCATGAGCTTTGGGTAATGACCAAAAGAACGAGATCGCGGATACAAGCGGCCAAAATGGGTTTCCTCTGAAGGGTGGCCGGGCTCAGCCTTAGAGATAGGGTGAGGAGCTCGGACATTTGGGAGGGACTCAGAGTAGAACCGCTGCTCCTCCGGATCGAAAGGAGCCAGTTGAGGTGGTTTGGGCATCTGGTCAGGATGCCTCCTTGATGCCTCCCTGGGGAGGTGTTTCGGGCATGTCCTGCCGGCAGGAGGCCCCCAGGTCGACCCAGGACACGTTGGAGAGGTTACATCTCCAATCTGGTCCGGGAACGCCTTGGGGTCCTGCCGGAGGAGCTGGTGGAGGTGGCCGGGGAGAGGACGGTCTGGAGCTCCCTAGTTGGGATGCTGCCCCCGTGACCCGGACCCGGATAAGCGGAGGAAGACGACAACAACGTTTCGATGTCTCACTATGGGATACGCCCCTCCGCAGATTCCTCAGAAGCACTTATCTCAATAAACCAATCCTGATTGGCCAGTGACCATGACGTACGCGTCCCCTGCTACTATAAGTAGCAAGCTTCTCAACGCATGCACCATTCAATCACCTCTTCTCGCTTCGGTGGTTGCTTATCTCTTAGGTAAGTTAGCTCAACTCTTCACAGACGGAGCTAGCTAATATTCTCTCTCCATCGCCGAACGTTAACTTACTGTCCTTCTGTCCTGACCTTCACCATGCTTGGGGCATGGCGAGCAGTTTCACACTCCAGTGCACCTGTTCGTTCTCTGGCTAACACACCAGTTAGTCCATATGGAAGCCGCTCCTCCCACCAGAGGAGTTGACGGCGCAGAAGCTCGCCTCTGTACCTGTACCTGAAGAGCCTTCGCCGGTGGCTAGCGCAACCGTGTGCCGAACACAGCTGGGGCTCACAGCTCGAACTGGCCGTTCCGAGCCACCCCATCAAGGACGTGTTGGAGTTGGATTACGGAGACGACGAGGACTCCTCGGAACTCCTCATTTCAGAGGAGGAAGTGGATGACGACGTTTTTCTCCCCCTCGCTCAGGCCTCTATGCCTAGCTTTCCGTCCTCTCC